AATTTGTAAGATTTGTTCCTTATTATTTTAATAAACTTGAAAAAAATAAAACATTAATAAGTTATTTTCCATCTTATTTTTCATGACATTATTAAATACTGGATAGTGTTTTCCAATTTATTTTTTATTACACTACCAAATATCAAAAAATAATTCACTTTTCAAAATAAAATTATTTCCTAACAAACAAATAGGGCTATAATAAATTATGATATTAGGTACACATTTTAAGCTCTAATAACATAACTGCAGTGTTTGGCACTGCATCGTCAATAGTATAAAGCAAATATTAAATTAAAATATTTAGTTAATACAAATTATATTTTTTCCATATAGATCCCACCTAAACATAGTTTATGAGAAGTAATTTTTATTTTTTCCTGTGAAGAGTAAACAGGGAATAATAAATTTAATTCACTCTTATATGTTCATTTAAGTTAACAATGGAGACTGACTTCAATGTGCACTTGAACAGTGGAGATCGAGCCAGTTCAAAGCTATAAAAATTCATTGAATTGAGTTTTATCTAGTAAAAAAAAATATTATTTTTTATTTTTAATTATATTATATTTTAAAAATTAGTATTTTACATTATTTAATGACACTATATAAATTAGAAAGAGATCGTTTGATGATGTAATATTTATAGAATTTAATTACAATTCTAATTTTATTTCTGATGATATTTTACCTGATATTATTGTGCGTTTACAAAATTAATGAAACTGTAGTCCTAGTTGGATGTATTTGATACATAATAGAATTGTAAATAGTTTAATGGAACAATAAAAAATATTTTATATTAAGTATTATTCATTTCATGATATAATGACAATAGTTAAATTTATAATATTTAAATTAAAAATCAATATATTTTTTAAAAATTATTTTATAATATCAATTTGAAAACCATTCTTAACCAAATACATTAAACTACTTTTAATAAAATATATATAAATACCAAACCAACTTTAATTAAAAATAATTTTTATAAAATAATTTTTTTAAATTATAATTATAATAACTATCACAATACCGATTATACTCGTAACGTAACTCGTAACGTAACTCGATACCCCTGCAGCAATAAAAGATATATGACTCAGTGCATTGCATGACCCTCTAAGATTTTTGAAAATTCACTTCTTGTCTAGAAAGTTAGCCTTATTTTCATATTAATCCCTCAAGAGTTATTACCAGCCCTTTTCCCCCAATCCTTGAAGATTTTTCAAATATTCATTCCTAAAGTCCCATGACATTTCTAACTTAGCCCCCACGAGAGTTTGGGTCGCCCTTCACCCTCGATCTGACCACCCTCTCATCGTTAAAAAGAGAGCGAGAAGAATGGTGGTATATGTATTCTCATGGAGTTATTCAGTACATCAAAAGTTGTATTCTTTCTTCTTCTTTTTTCTTACGTAAAAGTGAGATTTAAATAATTGTATAGTGCTTGGGGTTGCATGTTGAACAGATGAATTCTATACATTTGAGGAAATAATTTCTGCATTAGTGTCCTCTCGACGAGTGCTTAGATTCATCCCATGTGTCCCGGCCATCAGAGTGCAGGGGCTCACCATCTATGGAATTAGGAAAGAACTTGGCTATTTTGCCCCATAAAATGATGGGCTACATTGCATTGTCACGAAAACATTTTCTGTCGAAAATTATGTTCCATGCGAGCCCGGATTTTGTTTTGTTTTGGACTTGACTTTGTAAAGATTAGGCCTTCAATCTCAACAACAAATACTTCCTCAGCCCAACAAAAACCTCTATGGCAATATGTGCTTTATTTGAAAAGCAACGGTCTCTTTTCGTACAATATTCTAGTTTTTGAAATTTGAGTCTGCGTTCTCTGGATTAAACTTGCTCGGTGTTGTACCAGTGTATTGTTTATTGTCCTGGAAGGCAAATAGACAATCATGGAGGTTAAAGAAGAAAATGAGACTATCAAATCAGCTGTAATTGAGATAACATCTTCACTGTCTCCAGATGGGACTCCCATCAGACCCATATTTTGTTTGAACAAAACAAACACGGAAAACATTAGCAAGTTTGATGAGATTGAGGATTGCTTTATCCTTGATTTCGACCCTTCTCATATTGACACTTCTCTTCACCGTATCTCCACCCTCTCTGTCTCCTCCTTCACTGATGATGATGGTGGTGTCGATGACCTCTCTGTTGTTGCTGAAAAAGGCCAGGTATTTTTTTATTCTTTATTTTGTTTTTGGCCAAGTAGGATAAAGGGTTTTGCTTTTTTTTCGTTGATAGGTTATAGAGTTTTGTATCTTTATTAGATTTTTCTTTTTTTGCTGTATAGGTGGCTTGTAGGGATTATCCACACTCGAGGCATCTTTGTATTAAATACCCTTTTGATAAAACCCCACATGAGAGCTATTGTGAACTGGTAATTATTAATGAGGATAGTGTTTCGTGTTTGGATTTTTAGACGGTGTTAGTTTTTAATTATGCTGATTTGATTTGATTGCAGTGTTATTGCTATGTTTGTGATTGTGCTACTCCATGTAAGGACTGGAAGGGTTCTAAATCACCTCATTGCAATGCTTCAGAGAAAGTTGGTGATTGGAAGGAACAAAGGAGGCTGAAGAGAAAGGAAGAGATCAAACTTCCAAAGTCATAGGCTTTCTGGTTTTGCTAATGGTATCTGACACTTACATTGTAAAATCTGATCCTTTTGATGTCAATTAGTCAAATTCATGCTTAGAATTTGACGTGTTGCTGCTAGGTACTAGTTGGCAGTATGTTGAATGCCGTAATTTAAAGATGCAAATGTGATACTATTGTCTGTAATTTTTTGCTAGAGGGTGGTAACGAAGTGGTCAGAGGCCATATGCTATTCTAAATCCATTCTGTAATCGTCTTAACTTTTCTCTAAATTGCCTCAACCCTTACTCGTGTTTAGAGAGAGTTCATCATAGTACTTAAACGGACCCTTTTCAATTTCTCATATTGTTTTGAGCTCCTTTTGCAGAAACTGAAGCTATTTTTTATGGATTATTCATGTTTGTCTTCTTACTCTTCTTGATTCTTGAATGCGCTGATTGCCAAATTTGTATGGTATGGTAAACCTTCATTTTACTTTTTGAATCCTTTGCTGAATCCTGTTTCCGTGTGAACTAGTGGGAAATTAGGCTTTCTTTGTTTTATAGGGCGGTAGTTGCTATATTTTGTTCAGGATATCTCTTGTGGAACCTGGCCTTGAGGATGTTTGGATGATTCATGCCTTTCTTTGAAACCTTTGACCTCATGGCATCGCTGGTTGGGTTAGCAGTGTTGTTTAGTAAAATTGAATGATGAACAACTGCTGAATGGCAAGACTGAAATAACTGAAATCTATGTTTTGGCATTGTTGAAATGGGATGGTAAATTATTGAGCGTCTGGTATCTGGGAACAGAAGACAGTCAACAAAATTTAACTAGTGAAATTCATTTATCATGTAAGCTGCATTTGACTGATTCGGTTGCCATTTATTCTCCGCTGTTCATTCATCGCATTAGTTAGGAAAACTGGTATTGGTCTATAATACCTGTGTCAACGGGGTAATTGTTTTCCTTCAACACCATCCACTTCTTCAACCTGTTGTTGCTTCTGCATCTCTTCATGCATAGTTTGTTGCAGCTGCAACTTGACTTGAGATATAATCATCATCTTACAATGCTGTCACGTACGATCGCTTCTGTCAATTTGGTACCCAAAGCCTGTCTATTATATTTTTCTCTGCAATTTTTATCTTGGATACTTCACCTCTAGGACTCTACGACATTTGTTTGCATATGGTTATTATTGTAGTTTATATTGTGATTGAATCAGACCCTTTTTTTCTGGAATGTGAGACACCACAGGAAGTATCCTATGCTAGCAGCAAACGTCTTAATCCTACCCTTCATGGTCTGGAAATGGCTGGTTCCAACTGATCATGGCAGTGCTGAACTAGTTAGCATGGAACCAAATTTATGAAGCTCTTATAATGAAGTGACTACACTGTGTTAGTCATATGATGTTCATTTTGCGCGCCCACCAACATTGTTATGTGTGCTCTGCATAGGATGGTCAACATTTTCTATTCATTTTAAAGATGGAAATGCATGAGTTCTAAGCTATCCTGAAAACTTAGAAGTTAATAAATATTAAGAAGGTAAGACTTAAAATCTTTTAAAATTAAAACATAATCATAGTATAGACATAGTTGAGAATAAGAAGTTAACTATATGGAAGGTTGAGGTTTTTGAGTTGTTGGAAAGGTGATGAAGCGGTAAGAAATTGCTCATCTTGTTAAACATGAATCTATTTGGTAGTAGAGTCTTTTTGATAGTGTGGTTGCGGGTATTTTTCAAATAATTTTTCATGTCGAAAATATATCAATGATATTTTTTTATTTTTTAAAAATTATTTTTAAATTCAACATATCAAAACAATCCAAAAAATATTAAATTTTAGCCAATTTTTTTTGAATTTTTTGAGAACGCGATTTGCAAAGCATTCCCAAACATGCTCTTAATATGTGTCGGACTTATACATGTGATTTCAAATCCTCAATCATGGCTTAATTTCTACTAAAAGAAAGTTTAAAAATATGGTGTAAAATATAATTTTTAAAATTTAATTTTTTTATATAAAATAATTTTTTATATATATTTTTAAATTGTTTTGATATGTTGATATCAAAAATATTTTTTTTAAATAAAAATAATATTATTTTAATATGTTTTTAAATAAAAAACACTAACATTATCAAAATTCCAAATAAATCTTAAAAGTATATAAAAAGCATCATTATCTAATTTCTCTAAGAAATATATATAAATTTTTATTTTCACAAAATTTCTCTTCTTCTTCTGACAAATTAATTGAAAAATGGGCCAAAAGAGAAGGTCCATTTCTTTTTAGCCCATAGGAAGAGAGCTCTATATCCCTACCTTCCTTACTCTTCACTCTCTCTCTCTCTCTCTCTCCCGTTATCCCGAAACACAAGTAAACCAGCAGCAGCAGCCAAAACCATGTCACCCGGTCCCGTCGTTGAGGCTGAACCCGCCGCCGTCTCCACCAACGAGGAGGTCGAGTCAACTGTGGAAGAGACTCTGCAAAAGAAGCCTCCTCAGGTTTTCTTTTGCTTATGTCTTTAATCTTGATAGTTACTTGTCTATTATTTAGTATTTTATTCTGTTTATATATTCAAAAACAGAACGAGGATGAACCTATTGTGGAGGACGTGAAAGAAGATGAGAAGGACGATGAGGACGAGGACGATGAGGATGAGGACGATGATGATGACACCCCCGGTACTTCCTTTTCTCATTTCTCTTATTGGGTTCTTGTTTTATATTTCATTTGATACGTTGTTTTTCCACAAGTAATTATTATTGATTTGTGAATCTGGGTTTTCTTTCTTGAATTTTTGTTTTCAGTCTTCAAGTTACTTTACTGAGTTTACTTTTTTTTTTTTCTCTGCAAATGTTGTGTCTTTGATTCAATTCATTGTTTGAGGGGGGAAAAAGAATTTTTCTGTCTATTTGGTTTGTGAGGTGACTGTAGCAAATAAATAATTTAGTGTCTAATGCTTACATGCTTTTGGTTTTTGAGAATTGGAAGTGTATTGAGTTTCTTTCAATTACTTATTTCGTATGTGAGAAAATCGACTTTTGAAATATGATGGAATATATCTTTGTGGCTCAATACGTAAGAGTATTTGCTTGTCAACTTATAATGCTTTTCCTGGGGTAACAATCCTTAAAGTTTCCATCTTTTCATATTATTAGTGTCTTTTCTTAATTAAAGTGTTTTGTTTATCTAGTTGCATTACAGATCCATTTTGTCTCATTTTAAACGATAGCTTATGAGTTTGATCTCATATAGTCTTAACCTTTTTATCTTAAGGTTCATTTTAAATATCGGTTTGGTTTCCTGAATGTTGTTTTTGTTTTAAATAGATGGCATTGTTCTGTTAAAGTTAATGACAGGAGTGCTGTGAGATGCAGGTGCTAATGGGAGTTCAAAGCAGAGCAGAAGTGAAAAGAAGAGTCGCAAGGCAATGTTGAAGCTTGGCATGAAACCTGTTACTGGTGTTAGCAGGGTCACCATCAAGAGGACCAAAAATGTATTATCTTGCTTTATTGTTAATACTATTACTACTACTACTACTACTACTACTTTTGTTCTTGAACTTTGGCTGCCTATGTGATTTTGTGCGAGTAACCAATTTTTTTTTTTCTTTGCCCTTTCAGGTACTCTTTTTTATCTCAAAGCCAGATGTCTTCAAGAGCCCAAATTCTGAGACTTATGTCATATTCGGCGAGGCTAAGATAGAGGATTTGAGCTCTCAGCTGCAGACACAGGCTGCTCAGCAGTTTAGGATGCCAGACATGTCATCTATGTTACCAAAATCAGATGCTTCTACTGCAGCTGCTACAGCGCCACCAGAGGAAGAAGAGGAAGAAGTCGATGATACTGGGGTGGAGCCTAGGGACATTGATCTGGTTATGACACAGGCTGGGGTATCTAGGACCAAGGCTGTCAAGGCTCTCCAGACAAACAATGGGGACATTGTCAGTGCTATCATGGAGCTTACTACTTAGGTAATTGGCTACCTGGTTACTCTCTTGTTTTCAGTTTATGAGCTCCCAGAACATTTAATTGTTGGTAGTCAGCTTGGCTCGCCATCTCCCAGGAGAATTATTCATTGTGTCAAATTTGAGATTATTGCGGTCATTATGCAGGCCTTTTGTTTTGGTAGTAAGATCTCTTATTTGTTAGACTTGCAGATTGATATAATCAACAATAATAATTAGTTTAGAAAATCCTCTGTCAAAACCTTGCCCAATGTGCAAGTGTCTTGGCACTTGTCCAAAACATCATTCTTCCAGACACTAACTCTTATCACCAAATGCTCATTCATTGCATTCCATCTGCATTACTCAAACAATCTACATGAGAATTTTCTTGTCTAAACCTTATTTTCCATTTTACATCCAATCGTGCCATATTCCACTATGCATATATGCTATAGAGTATCTAATTATTAACATTACATGATCCACTGGAGCTCAGTAAATTATACCAAGATAAAAGCTTCTGCTCCGGAGGAACATCACAGCAAGGTCCTCCAGTCTGCACAAAGAATTTAACATGTTGAAGTATGTTAGCAAAACTGATACCGTGGAGGCTAACCAGAGCAAGCCTACGTACTATAGCGATACTATCCCTTGCTGCAAATGCGAGTATGTCAGCATACGAATACTGAGCTTTTTGTATCATGAGCTCAATGTACTCAACCATCCTACGAGAATTTCTATGGAATCCGTGTGGAAGCTGAGAACGAATATCTTGACAAAGAAAGACAAGAGCCCATCTGCAAACTGTACAAAAAAATTGCTTCTTGGAAATCATATTTCGTCACAAATTCTGACAAAAACGTGAAATTAAGCCATATACATGGTGACCATGTCTATTTATAGATGAAAATTTTTTTTACTGATCAGTATCTCAAATGTATCGTTCGTTCATTGCAAGATATCATTGAGAAAGCAAGTGGAAGTCCGTTTCATGAAAATAGGGCTTTATATAGTTTTTAAATAGGGATGCAAAACAACAAATAATAATAATAATAATAATAATAATAATGTCTAATAACTTCATCACATTTTCTTTTTGGAAACCTCTTACAGTATACTGATCATTTGTTGACTCAATTATTACAGAATACTAGTAAATAAGACTAAAGGCTTCATGTGACGAAGTCTATATATAGAATTTGCTATAATTGCCTATTGACTTGAAGTCTTCAAGCTTCAAGAGTAGTCCAACAATTCACCTCCTAGCTTTAGCTGTTGATCACCCTACAGTTTGCCCTAATCTCTCCTGTGTTACCAGTCAAAACTTCAATTTGGCCCATTTTTACCATTGCTGCAGCAAACTTTCTCTTCCAGCCCAAGGGACTCCTCGAATTTGATTTCACTTGACTTGCTGTTGCTGTGTTTGACAAGAGAGTTTGATCTGATGTGAACAAGCCTCGGTTTGCTAGGATATCTCTGTAGTAACTTACATCACTAATGGTTGGAGTAATAGTGTCCATAGGCACCACCAAGTTAGGATCCGTACTAGCTTGAGGGCATTTCTGCTTCAAACTGGCTGCATACGTGGCATCCAAGCTTGGGTCTTGGCTATTTGCTCCACTGAAGTTGTATAATCTATTTCTGAAGGAAGTGCAATGCGAACGACCGATGGTATGTCCTCCTGTTAACATGTAGTAATTAGTAAGTTGTTAATGATCTTGTCTTAGAAGTGTGAGATAGATTTGAGGTTAATTATACTACCGGATAGTGTGACCATTTCTTCTTGTGATAAACCCTTCTTTGCAAAGTTTTGAGTGAGTTGATCAACATTTAAGGTGGGAGGAGGTAAGTCTGAAGTCTCTGCGGCTAGCGAAACTGTGCCATCTCTTCTTCCAGCCGGAACATCGTAGCTAATCCCTCCAGTCTGCACGAATAATGGAAGGGTTCAAGGTTGAAGCATGTCACATACCACTTCAGTTTCCTAAACAATCCACAAATGCTAAGCCAAATTAACGTTTCTACTTACTAAATCAAAGCTATCCCTTGCTGCAAATGCCAGAATATCAGCACATGAAACGACTCCTCGGCATT